GATGTTGCACGTCCTCGTGCAGCGATATTTTGATTTGTAGGCTTCTTACATGTAGAATATAACATTAGCCCGATTTATTTGAGTTGAGTTCAATGAAAACATTACTTATCAGTGTAATTAGTTACTATAAAAACAAAGAAACTACCCGCTGTCTATTATTAAATAGACCTTTATTTTTCCTGTCCTGCCGCAAGTGAAATTATAGAACAGAATACTGTTTATACTGTCGTACTTTTTCGCTTTACTTTCACTCCATTTTTCAATGTGTTTAATATTAGTTTGTGGACTAGCAATTAGTTTTATCCACAGAAGATATGTCCATGAAATAACCCAGGACCAAACAATTTCTGTGCAGTTGGAGTGTGTTGCAGAGGATGCTATGCCAACACAGCACCCAAATGGCAGTTTATGCAAAATCTGAAAAAATCGGCCAGTTTTTGAAAGCCATCTGGAGTCCGTCGTGAATACTCTTCTAACTTGCTTTTTCCTCTTTTGCTTTTCAATGAGTCATATCTGTGTTTGAGCAAAGCACGGCTGCCACTAGAGGAAGGGAACTGTGAAGGACTGTGACCATGATTAAAATTCATCAGAATAGCTCTACTGCCATCTACTGTCTTCACTTGTCCACAATGAAAAGAGAGCCCATTTTCTGTTTTGTTGTGGAGCTTCATGTTAGAACTTGAGCAGGAGGAGATTACTCTGCCCACCAGTACGATAAAAGAAGAGCAGCGCTTATTTTAACTGACAGCAATGATACCCGTCTAGGGCATCTAGTTTTGTCCTGGAATCAGACCTTCTGCAGTTAGACCAGAAGACGAACCACTTTGAGAACAATATGGTCAACATGGCTTCCACTGATACCTGGATACTTCCCCAATTCCTGTGCTAGACTGCTGTGAGTACTGCTTAGTCATCAACTAAGTCACTTTGGAGTTGCAGCTAAGCATGCTTTCCCAACTCGACGTTGCTCACCTGTTTAATGGATCATGTGTGTGTTGCCATCATGGGGACAGTACACTTTAGCATTTTCAGTTCGCAGCAGGGGGTCCGTGGAGCTAGTCATGTTAGAAATCCTCCTACTTCTACTCATCTTTCCCTGAACCTAAAGTATGATTTATTTGGGTTTGTACTTTGTTTCTCAACCAATAAGGGAAGCGCAATTTGAACCTCTTCGTTTTTCGTGTTTTAATGAACACTCTGCTGTCAGTGTGATAATCACTGAACCCCACACTACCCAACTAAACATTACCTTAATTCCCCTCCTATCTGGACCTAATCCAACAAGTTGGCCATCTACTGCAGATAATTTGCCGCATGGGTATTTAGGTGTGCCAACAACCTTGATCATAACACAAACAAGACTGTGGAGATTAGATTTACTTCCACCACAACCCAGATGCTCATCTCCCCCTGCATCAACAGTATCACCTTGTGTACACAGTTGAGTCAATTCAACACATCAAAACCTTCAGATCAGATGAGAACATTTCCAGTTTGACTGAAAGACTCGCCTCCTGTCTCAACACTGGCAGCTTACACATGTCGCACAGCAAATTGTCCAAATCCTTATCAATAAAAACCCGTGTGAGTTTAAAGTAAGGGCAAGAGGGAAACATGTTTGTTGCTGACTCTGCCCATCTGGGAAACCAGATTGAGATACTGCTCCTGTGCATCGTTGCCTGCACCAGCCGCCACGGCAACCGCTTCTCCCCAATTACAATAACTCTCTCACCAAAAACACACACACACGCCATCAGACTGGCTGAATAAACAAATCTGCACATGGCTGCTGATTATTAAGTTATTCAAGCTTTTTATCAATGTCAGCTACTGATGTATCATTGGCACTTTGTTCTGTGCTTCACTGCATTCTCAAGTTGATCCTTTTCTGTTTGAGATATATAAGATTATGATATATGTCAAGACTGTGTTTCAACATGATATTTAGTTTTAATGTAATTTAATTTTGTGATTACTGCTGTCCTGTATTTTACATGCACTTACTGTGTCGCTTCTTTCCTTGTCTTGTATGTTAAGTGTTGTGTATTATGTGCATAAATTGGTGCACAGCCTTTTCTGCTAATATTAATGGGTGAAATTCAACATGACAATACATTATACAATTTTGATATGTACTTTGTGCACAAACATGTGTATTGCATAAAGACTTGTTTAATTTATGTGAATGAATCTGAGATATGCATAATACTTTTGTACAAGCTCACGCGTTAGAGCACAGGCTGTTGTCTGTTGAGAACATGCTGTTGTCAGATGTACTCTGTTTCCACTCTGAAGACGGTGGTAGAGATTGTAGGTGAGGGACTTGACTTCCTACATTGCTACACATAATGGCAGGGGTAGTGTTTGTCACCACGGAAACCATTCGTTTCTTGGCAACATTCCTATCATCGACTAAAATCAAATCTAATGATGGGATTCAAGCAGTCGGCTATCTTGCTATAGCAAAGTGCCGGAAAAGGCTTTGGCAGTGTGAAAACACACACAGGTGAGGGGGAAAATAATGAGGTACAGAAAACTTTTTATTTTTTTGCTCCCTACCAAAAGGGTCTGCACGGACTTCTTTCAGCTGCTGACAGGTGGCTGTCTAAACACGATAAACCCAACATTTTGGCTTGAATCTTGTTATCTGTAATATTTCTGAATGAAAAGTGTGAAAGGACTAACATGCTTCTCCATCACTAAATGTCAACCTGAGAAATACTTACCTGGGATCCAGCAGTAGCCGAGCCACAAGTTGTTTACCCATATTAGTAATTCACTCACACACTGACCTCTGCACCTCCCAAACTGATACATTTTTTAATTAGTAATGTAAGAAACTGCTCAGCCTAAAGAGATCAGGGCTCATTCTCCCAACTACTGTCTCCATGTACTGTGTAGATGAGTCAATATAAGCCTCTACATTCAAAGATCCATAGTTTTGTCATCATCGTTACAAATATACATTTATTTTCGTTTCAAATCTCTTTATTTGCATATGATGTTATGGAAGGTCCTCTCTTAAATACACCTCCCTGCTTATTTCTTCCCTGTAGCGCCATCACATTCCCTGAGGGTAAACCAATTTACATTCTTGTTTTGCTCTTCAGATCCATGCCAGTTTCCATGACAACATAGTTTCACTTTCTCATCCTCTCTCTCTCTCTCTCCCTCGTCCTCATTCCCCACTGCTCCTTTCTTATGTTCTCTTGACCTTCCTCCAATGTTTCATTTTCTTCCTCCAAATACTGGGGTCCAAATTTCTCCTCTCCTCTCATTTCCTCACCTAATTGAGCTCATTCCTCTGCTTGCCATATACCAGCAGAGAATAATGGACTCAGATAAAACATATCTCAGGGGCGAATGGTGGGATAGAATTCACGGCATCTTTTTGCATTTTCATCGTAAAAAATACAAAATGCAGGATGCCTGTGGGCTGTTTTATTCGCTCTTAAATATCTTTGGGCTGGTTTATTTGGCAGGAGTGATGCCTAGAGCCCAAAATTATTAAATCAAAACAATGTGCAGCCGAGTATTCTTTCTTTGGATTAAAAGCAATTGGCAATTGGTGTGTACACATCAACCTGCACAACTCATAGGGTTGTTTCCCTATCCTTAAAGTTAGTTATTCAAGCAAATCAAAGCTTATCTGAGCCTATGTCCATTATGATTTGGCATATAATGACAGAATAATGTAGAGTGCACATCTCTACCCGATGGCATAATCAAAATCTCAAGCTATTTAATTACTCGATGATTAAAAATGTCTGATGCCAACAGGTGTGATGGGGCTTCCTCGGCTGATTAATGCCAGTCCTTTGTGCTTTGTCTGGAAGGAGAAGGTCATGGAGACAGTGGTCGGTCTCCTGCATGACTTTGACCAGCCTGCCTGCTCTCGCACCATGTCTGCAGGTCAGGGAGTCTCAGCAAGTCACCTCTGTGGTTTGTGACTATGTTCACAGCTCCATTCTGACCAGTATCCACTGCAGATTTGTGTTTTAGTTCTCTCCCTCTCAGTAGAAATCATTGCAGCTCCCTCCTCAATGATTTACGACTTGTTCCTAATGTATCCTTCCCTTACATTCAACTGGTTGTCTGAAAAGAAATCAGGGTTTCTTATTCATCCTTTCAGCAAAAAAGGAAAAAAAAACCTTCATTGTGGGTGGTCTAGAAAGCTACATCCTAGAGGTTAGAGAATCAACTGTTGCAGGTGCAAATACTTGCAACATCTGTACGAATAAAACCTGAACAATGTCTCATGTTCCCATGACAATGGCAATTACTTTGGTGGGGCTAAGTGGTAGCCAGCACTACTGCTGCTCAAATGTACCCCCTAAGTGTTCTTAACGGTATAAACTACTGCAGTAAAACGCATGTGCTCTGTCAGCTTTTCCAAATTGTATGAAACATTTCTAACATCGCAATTTAAAAACACAGACAGTGTATTTGCCAGAAAGGCCTTTTATCCCAAATTCACTTGTAAGTATACGCTGCCAAGCCTACTTCTGCTACCCAAACCACCAGAGGGAGTAATCAACTGACAAAATAGCAGGTTTAACAGTGCAACAACTGGATCTTCACTCTGAGTAACTTTATAATGGATTCCCCAAACCTGAAGCGTCTGAGCTCACCTTACAGTGTTTCTGATATAGGCTACTTCTACTAATTTGAATTCTACTGCAGGATGGTGTCCATCAGAAATGTGGTCTGAGATGGAAAAGGTGATTGATTTGCTGGATCAAATAATCCTGAAAATAAGAAACCTATTAATTTTTTTGTTATTGATTATGGCGCATACAGTGCCTTCTAAAATCTGAACGACACAATTATGTGGGTGTTGACATCACCATCTTCAAATATTATGCTATAAATATGAATATATATGTTTATTTTGAAGTAATTTCCCTTACATTTCCATTCTTATAACCGATAAAAATCGGACTCTCAGCCAGCGCAGATGTCCGATATGACATATCTGTACAGTGACATACGGATGCCCGTGTGGCCACACTAATTATTGTCAGCGGCTGGGAGTGATATGGACTCGCAGAGAAATGCAACGTCCTGCCCTTCTACATCTTGAATAGTGGGAGTCATGAACCGCTGCAAGGTGACGCGTCCCTTGATTTCAACCGAAACTTCAAACTAGACACGCGGTGTTATTTATCACCATCTGAACCTCCCGTCAAACCGCACCAGCTCCTTTCTTATCAAACGACGAGATCGGGACCATCTTGCGCAGTGGTACGGCGAGCGGAGCAAGCGGTGGCGGCCACTCCGGGGAATGTCGACTGGCCGTCAGTCCTGACATCGGCCTCTTGTGATCTCACGCACCAGGTAGAGTACACAGCGTTTCAAAACACTGTCACTGCCGAAGCATGCTAACCGTGTGCCTATTTTGGAGCTGTCCTCCTAATGCGTCTGCTCGTGTAACTTTCCCTTCCTTTTACGAAGTCTTCGGGTCGCTAGCAAGCCTGTAATAAAGTTCAAATCCCGTTAGCTAGCATTGGTTCGCTTGCAGATGTGTGCTACGGCGACGTCAGTTTACGAGCAAGTAGCCTAGCGAAGACGTGAATTAGCATGCTAAGTTAGCCCGTGGACCTGGCTGGCGCAGCAAGTCTCCACTCATGAGCGTCGGGGTTCACATCAGGGGCATGTGTCCTTAAATTCTCCGAGCGAGAATGCGGTGCTTGCTCGACATTATGTTTTGACGGGCCGACATGAACATGTAAATGCAACAATGTGTAAATTATTAATATGAGCTGGTCTGGAAAGCTAATCTGACAGACGCAGCCCAAGCAACATTTGAATGGTTTTGAGCTAAACAGCTACACCGTGTGCAGTAAGGTGACAGACTGCGTAACCAGAACGTTACCTGTCACTTCAACACGGACTCAGCGTGGGCACAACATATGCTGTTAATACTGCTGCTGCTTAACACTATAGTATGCCTCTTTACTGACGTGGTCAACGTTAGCTTTAATGTAACGTTAGATAAATTACGTACATGTTATTTTAATAGGCATTTCCTGCCCCGCGGTGTTTCAGTTCCACTCAGACAAGCACACTGTGCAGCTGGACGTCAAGCTAAGTTTATAACATTACCTGACCACTAACACGGTATGTTGGTTAGAGTTAACTGTCAAAATGTAAATGTGATAACCCTTTCCCAGAATTAGAATTGTAGCCATTATAATTATATAAGGTACCGAAATGCTGTCAAACAGACTGTGAAGTGTCTCTCTCTCTCACACACATTTCCCCTGTCTCTTTCTTCCTCTCTCTCACTTTTGACAACCCATGACCCTGCTGGTTCAGCCTGTTGAATATGGTGGGATAATGCTGCACTTGAACCTGTTCACAAAGAGAGATACTAAAGCTTTTCTCTTTAGCTACACAGCCTTTCCACGTAAGTATGTGTGTGCGTCATGCACACCGGAGCTTCATGCTGTTTGTGTATCTACAATATCCTGGTGAGCTATATATAGCACCTAACAGAGTTTGCAACTTGATCCGAATTGTCTTTCAAGGCTACAGTACAGTGTGCGTTGCTTTCCACTGGAAGTGAGATATCTCAGAGCATCTTTCTTTTTAAAAGGACAGTCCACCTGTAGGCCTTAGTGCACGTTTATTTTGTGCTTTTGTTTTTGTATGTGTTATCCTTAGGGGTCCCTGTAAATTTGCTTGTCGTGGATAATGATGGACACTTTAGGATGACAGGTCTTAATAGACCAAATTCTGTTTTTAGTCTATCCAGTGCTCTCAGCACTTCACAAACTGATATTTTAGCAACTGTGTGCACTTTGGTCGATTTTTCTTGGATAACAAACATGACGAACAGGTGACGATGAAGAAGTCTTCCTGTAACAGCAAGAAGGCTAATGTGTCTATAATTGTACAGCAGAGCGAAATGCAAGCCTGCGTGCATTGTGACATATTCTGGGTGTGAATGAGAAGTCTATTTCCTGCCTCTTTTGTTTTGTCCAGAGTTGATGTGACATGAACGAGCATGTGACAGCGACTGCATGTCCGCGCAGACTGCTCCCGTGCAAGCAGAGACCGATTTGGTCCGCTGCTGACAAAGTGTTTTTTATCTGGTTAGGTGATCTGAGAACTTTGGGGTGAGTTACAGGGAGCACTGCTAAGGTGAGCTATGAAAGAATAATGTGATATTGAGAATGTTTCCACACGACAGAAGACACTTAAGCTCTGGACTCTGTAGGCCTTGGTCTAATGCCTGAATAGGAAGCATTCAGACCAAGCGTTTCTCATGAGATTATGGTTCACATTAATGTCCCAGTGACTGTCGTGGTTCTGTGCCTTTCTCTGAGCTTATCTTTTGCATATCTTTTTTTACATGCCGTCTTTGTGGACAAGAGTACTCTGTCCACACTGCTGCTGGTCATCAACCTTTCAAACGACATTAATATATTTAGTCACACAAGGTGTTGTATTCGGGCTCTTTTAACGTGAGTTTGTTCTGCCGGGTGAGAACAAGGCCACTTGAACTCAGGTGTGTCCCAAATAACCACGCAGTGACCTTGTGAGCATGCAGGTCTCGGCCCCTTTACAAGCAAACTGTGGTGCTTAACCCTCAGATACTGTACAGTCTCATGGGTGCAACAGGACAGATGTTCACCTCTGTCTGTCAGCACTTACTTGTGCTTGGAAAGCTTTGTGTAACAAATTGAGCCTCATGGATCTTCATGTGTTCAAAGCTGACGTGTACACAAGAAAGTGTACGATTTAGTAAAAAGCAGAACCAAGTGTTTCCTACGTGGTTACCAGGAGAGGAATCTTGATTTGGTTTGACTCTCGTCACACTGCTAAATTGCCCCAATAGCCAATAAATTAGATACTTGTGGGTCTGTGAGACCTTTTGTTTGAAAGTCGTCTGAGTTCAGCTGGATGACTCAAACAGGAAAATGCATCAGCGTAACATTTTCCACATACAGAAGCCAGTGTAGGTGCGTTTACAGGCTTGTTGACCAACAAGCCCACATTCCTCCTATCCCGTGAGGCCTGAGCTCTGATCAGATCTAACCAGTCCTCAAAGCCTTTTAACAATATTAAACTCTCTGTCAGAAAAATGTGGGAACTGACAGCGTCACTTTTGTTTCACCTTTGAGATAATAAACACAAGTCTTGTTGAGGAAGTAGAGAATCTCATGCTGGCTGTGACTGCACGTCACATTGCATTTCAAAGTGCCTCATACAGCAAGGAGCACGTTAGTTAACTGGCCTGGTCGGGCAAGTGGGTCACAAGTCCACTTGTCCAAAGTCAATTTTGACTTGCCCCTATACAAAATGTCTTGTTTATTTGTACATTACAAAACAAAAAAAAATGAAAGTGTTGTACAGGTATAAATCAGCAATACAATATAGAAAAGAAGGCTAATTCCTTCTGCTTTAGTTCTTTATTACCACTTGCCCGATTGAGATTTACTAGCCCGACGTGTCTTTTTACTTGCCCTGGGGAAGACGGCCTTATTGTTGAATCCTGTGGGTGTCAAAATACTTTGCTTCCATAACGTCAGTATATGAATCACTATACCATAATATCAGTTGGATTTTCATCACCTTATCTTAAAACCATTTGGAGGATTCTGTGATGGCTTGATGCTTTAATGCATGTATTGCACATGCTCAGACTGATCAGCTCAAAGTTGCGTTGGAGTGGTCGAGCCGTCTCTGACTGGGATTCTGCAGCACATCCAGATGCTGCGTCTGTTTCTGAGACAAAATCCTTTTTTTGAAAAGACTTCTGGCTGGTTACTTTACAAAGTGTCTGTTAGAGTACATACTGTAAATGAGCCAGCAAAGGGCAAACATGTGCAAACACTTAGCAGGTAATTTCCCCCCTTGTTTATATCCATTGCAATAATTATCCAGGTGACTTTTCCTCTTTCTGTGGTTTTCTTCATCTCTTAAGTTTTTCACAACTGGCTTCAGCTCAGGACTGACCTTTCTTTTTCTACAGTAATGACTCGTACTAGGGCCATGTCATTGTTAGATGCAGCTAACTGACTAATTCTGTCCCCCAATTTGTTTAATGCCAGGGTAAGTTATTTTATTTAAGGCCGGGTTATGTTTCGGCTAACGTTTTGGTCACTGTTGAGGTTTGTTCAGCATTGTTGTGGGAAGAAGATGCTGTGTACAAACCCTACTGCTGCCCAGGGGAACAACGTGCAGTACTTGGTTTATTCGCCAAATCTGAAAAAAAAAGTCTCACACATTGTATGATAAACCATGTGTTTTTAATGATGATGATCTTTGGCCTGAGGGAAAAGACGAGACCCTGCATGAGATTGGACAGATTGGGCGTCCTCTCTTGGAACAGACTGGTAGGTGTGTGTTCAGTTCAACACTGAGTGGCTTCTGTCCATCAGCCTACTGCTTCTGTGCCGTAATGCCTGCTTTCTATCTGTTCTGAAGCTGCAGTTTGCTCTTTTTTTTCCCTTGCTCTAGTTGGCTTGTTTCCCAGAATGTGTTGGAAAGGATACAACCCTTGACCCTCTGTACAAAATGAGCCCAGTACTTCTTCCCTGTCCTCAGAGCTCAGGCAAAACCATAGACTAGGTGCCTGCAGTCTTCTTACCGCTTAATTTCCATCCTGTTGAGGTCTTTATCAACATTTGTGTGGACTGGCCAATAAATCGTGTGTGAATTGCCCACATTTCCACGCCTATCCCAGTTCAGCCAGTCCTGAACACACAGTTTACAAACGCATGCAATATCTACCCTGATAGTAGCACATAAATCAGTGTTTACTTACACCGAATCAGTTCATATTTTAGCTAAACATTTATTGTCCTCAGCTGAACTCTTTAATATTATGTTTCCTCTTGGTGTAAAAAGGAAGGTAGATCTTAGGTCATCTCCTTTGTCATCACTGGCCTGCTACATCAAAAGACTGCTCTGCTCTGAGATCTTCACAAATGTCTCACTTTTCCCTTTTTTTCTCTCCTCTGTGGCCTTTCCCCTGTTGCAGGCCCTTCTCTCTGCACATCGCCTCCTGGTTCGCCTATATTTACTCAGCCCCGTGACATGTTTTGTTGCCACAGCAACCTGCCACAACCACCCTAGTGTGCTGATTTTTTTTTTTTTTCGTCACCTGTGCACTGTCCCACAATGCACTGCAGTTTAGAACCTATGACTAGGCTGAGATTTGGGAGTGCAGCGATACAGACCTAACGGAGTTTGTGGATTAAAATGTCCCAAAAGTAAAAACCACCTTTTTTAATCAAAGGTTTAACAAACTGAATCCTTCTCGTTCTTTGGTGTTTATTTAAATGGATGCTGACCTGCAGTAACCTCTTGTTCCGCGTGTACTCTTA